ATAGTGTTGAATGTGACTTGTGTGAAAAATTTGGGGTCAATCGGACGTGGTTTGGTTGGTTTCGGCATCGGTTGTAGAATTTTAAAGTTTCAAGTTCTTAAAGTTTCGATTGGAGGGTGATTCGTGATTTTAGCGTTGTTTGATGTGATTTGAGGGATCGACTAAATTCGTATGGTGTTTTAGGATTAGTTGGTATGTTTGGTTGAGGTCCCAGGGGCCTCTGGTGTGTTTGGACTTTGAAGGATAGCAGATTTTTGCTGGTTTTTGTTGCAGAGATTTGTTCTTCGCGTTCGCGAAGAAGAGTTGGGGCAGAAGAAGAAAATGCTCTTCGCGTTCGCGAATAAAGGGACGTGTTCGCGAAGGTTTGAACTTCAGTGTATCGCGAACGCGTGGATGGCATCGTGTTCGCGTAGAGACAAATGGAACATCTGGGACCTCGGGAATTTGCTCTTCACGTTCGTGAACAAGGGGTCGCGTTCGCGAAGCTCCTGGCAGCTGAAGCTACGCGTTCGCAAGAGGGAACTCGCATTCATGAAAGAGGAAAAATTGAGCAGTAAACTTTTGTTCTACGTGAACGCGAGGTGGTTGTCGCGTTCGCGAAGAAGGGTGTACGTGGGCAGATTTAAAGTTCAAAAACGAGGGTTTGAGTTCATAACTCAAAAAAAAATTGATTGAGAGCTCAGTAGAAGGCGAAATTTGGAGAGATTTTAGGAGGAAGTATTTGGATAATGATTCTTAACTGCTTTATGATTAAATCCCACTAATCTATGCTTGATTTCATCATTTGATTTCGGATTTGGGGTGGAAAATTAGGAAAAATTGAGAAAAGTTCTTACGTCGAATTTTGGAATTTTGATCGAGATTTTGGTATCGGATTTTACTGAATTTGGTATGGTAAGACTCGTGAGTGAATGGTGTTCATAATTTGTGACTTTTACCCGATTCCAAGACGTGGGCCCGGGGAGGCTTTTTGGGCGTTTTTTTATTTTCTTGCCTTAGCATTGATTTCAATATCTAAATTAGTTGCTTTTAGCTATATTTACGTTATGTAATTGATTTGGCTAGATGTGGCCCATCCGGAGCCAGATATTCGCGGAAAGAGCATTGTTTCAGATTGAATTGAGCTTGGTTCGAGGTAAGTGGCATGCCTAACCTTGTGGGGGGAACTCCCCTTATGATTTGGTACTGTTTGATATATGAGGGTCGCGTACGTGAGGTGACGAGTACGTGTACGGGCTATTTATGGCAAAACTCCGTTTTTCACTTAGTCATAACCTGTTTTTTTTCTCCTTGTTTGAACTGCACTAGCATATGTACTATCCTGTTTAGATTAGAAAAGCATGCCTATGTGTTTTAAGTGCCTATTTGAACTGTGTGCAGCATGTTTAGTGAAATTACTTGCTTTTCCTTCGAATTGGACTTAGTCAAAATTGTAGGTTTCTTGCTGTAACTGTTGTTTACATTGGTTGTGCTGTATATTTACTTTGGAACTACAGAATGGTGTTCCGGGAGATTCCCTTGTACTGCGTATTTACTTTGGGACTACGGAACGGTATTCCAGGAGATCCCCCATCATTGCATATTTACTTTGGGACTACGGAACGGTTTTCCGGGAGATCCCCCTGCACATTTACGTTTGGAACTACGGGAAGGTATCCTGGGAGATTTCCTATTGTTACCCTTGTATTTCTAAGTTGTTTTTCTTCTATGCTTATTTCCTGGTTAAATTTCAGTACTTATTTCTTTACCGCGATATTTCTTTCTGTTAAATTTTATTATATTTAAACCAGTAGGCCCCTGACCTAATCTCACCACTACTCGACCGAGGTTAGGCTTGGCACTTATTGGGTACCATTGTGGTGTACTCATACCCTTTCATGCACATATTTTCCGAGTGCAGATCCAGGTACTAGCTATCAACCTCGAGTCTAGTTTTGTGGTTGCTGCTTCAGGAGACTTCAAGGTACATCTGTCGCGTCCGCAAATCTCGAAGCCCCCTTCTATCCCTTATGTTGATTTTCCCCTTGTTTTCTTCAGACATAATGTATAGAGCAGTTAGAAACTCTTAGAAGCTTGTGCATTGCGACATTCCGAGTTTTGGGAAAAGTGATTATTGTATATGCCGAGCGGCATCATTTCTGCTTATTAACTATATTCGTTTGCTGTTATCTTTGTGTTTCTATTTCATTTCCGCAGTATTAGGCTTACCTAGTCGTAGAGACTAGGTGCTGTCACGACAATTCACGGGGGGAAAACTTGGGTCGTGACAAGTTGGTATCTGAGCTCTAGGTTCATAGGAGTCGTGAGTCACAAGCCGGTTTATTAGAGTCTCGCGGATCGGTATGGAGACGTCTGTACTTATCTTCGGGAGGCTACGAAACTGTTAGGACAATTCCACTTCATTTGATACCTTGTCGTGCGAGATTATGACTTCGAAATTCTAAACTTTTGTCTTCTATTCTCTCACAGATGGTGAGGACACGTGCTACCGGAGATGACCACGCACCCGCGCCCCTTGCTGGAGCAGCCCGAGGCCAGAGCCGGGGTAGAGGCCGAGGACGTGCACGTGGTGCAGCCAGAGCACCCGCGCGAGCTATTGTAGAGGAGCCACCAGTAGTTCCAGTCAGAGCATAGGCACTTGATACGCCTACTACTACTACTCCAGCTCTCCAAGAGACCCTTGCACAGTTCATGGGCATGTACAACACTCTAGCTTAGGCAGGGTTGATTCCCCTTGCTGTAGCCACATCTCAGACCGGGGGAGAAGCGCGGTCTCCCGCCGCCCGTACTCCAGAGCAGCGGGTTCAAGTTGATCAGATTCCAGAGGTTATACCGGTACCACCTGTAGCCCCCGTTCAGCCCGAGGGTAGGGCAGCAGCTTCAGAGGAAGAGTATCGTAGGCTTGAGAGGTACAAGAAGTACGACCCTCCTACATTCAGTGGTCTAGCATCAGAGGATACTCAGGGAAATCTAGAGGAGTGCCACCGTATCCTCCGCACTATGGGCAAAGAAGAGTCGAGTGGGGTTTGAGCAGTTGCGCTAGGGTACTATGACTGTTTCAGAGTATGCCGTTCGTTTCAGTGACTTGGCTAGACATACACCGGCATTGGTTTCTATAGTCTGAGAGAGGGTTTGCCGGTTTATTGAGGGGCTCATTCCCAGCATCAGGACTAGCATGGCCCGAGAGTTAGAGATGGATATCGCGTATCAGCAGGTGGTGAGTATTGCTAGGAGAGTAGAGGGCATGCTTGCTCGGGATAAGAAGGAAAGAGAGGCCAAGAGGTCTCGAGAGTTGGGCCATTATTCTGGTGCCCGTGCCCCAATTGCAGTTCGTCATGGTAGGGGTTATGTGAGTCGCCCTGTTCATTCAGCTCTTCCAGCAGCCAGTGGTATTCCAGCTCCTCCTAGACCTCAGGAGCCTTATTATGCACCTCCAGTATCTAGTGTGCCTCCTGCACGGGGTGCCATCAGTGGTCAGTCCAGTAGACCTGGCCCGAGCCAGATACAGCCGTCACGTCCTCCCAGAGCTTGTTTTGAGTATGGCGACACTCGCCATATAGTGAGGAATTACCCCAGACTTAGGAGGGGTGCACCTCCACAGACTTCTCGGCCACAGCGTGCTCCACCAGGTTCTCAAGCTATGATTACAGCACCAGCTGCCACCCCACCTGCTCAGCAAGCCCGAGGTGGAGGTCGGGGTGGTAGAGGTCGCCCTAGAGGGGGAGGCCAGACTAGATACTATGCCCTTCCTACTCGTACAGAGGCTGTTTCTTTCAATTCTGTCATTACATGTATTATTTCGGTCTGTCATAGAGATGCATCTGTTCTATTCGGTCAGGCTCCACTTATTCCTATGTGTCCTCTTATTTTGCCCCGTATTTGGGCGTATCTCGGGATTCTTTGAGTTCCCCTGTTTATATGTCTAGTCTTAAGGGAGATTCTCTTGTTGTGGACCGCGTTTATCGGTCATGTTTGATTGGTCTTAGTGGTTTTGAGACCAGAGCGGATTTATTATTGCTCAGCATGGTAGATTTTGATGTTATCTTGGGATTGGACTGGTTGTCGCCCCATTATGCTATTCTTGATTGTCATGCCAAGACCGTGACGCTGGCTATTCCAGGTTTACCGCGATTAGAGTGGAGGGGTACCTTTAATTACACTCCCAGTAGAGTTATTTCATTTCTTAAAGCTCGGCGAATGGTTGAGAAGGGGTGTGACGCGTATCTAGCTTATGTGAGAGATGTCAGTATTGATACCCCTACAGTTGATTCAGTCCCAGTATTGAGAGATTTCCCTGATGTGATTGCTGATCTTCCGGGCATGCTGCCCGACAGAGAAATCGATTTTGGCATTGATTTGTTATCGGGCACTCAGCCCATCTCTATTCATCCTTATCGTATGGCCCTTCCTGAGTTGAAGGAGTTGAAGGAACAGTTACAAGAATTGCTTGATAAGGGTTTCATTCTGCCCAGTAACACTACAACAAAAAAGGCTTTTAGCGGCAATTAAAATATTTTTTAGCGGCAATAGAAATGGCCAGCAAAATCATTTACCGGCAATTAGTTTTTGGTCGTTGTATCCAGCGTCGGCAAAGCTATTAGCGGCCATTATCCAAGTGCTGGTAAAGATCCCTTTAATGGCCAGTAAAAGTCCTTGAGTTTTAGCGGCATTTATTTGCCGGCAATTGCGATAGTCACTAGAATCCCCCCAACACTTCATAGGTCAACCTTTATTATTGCCGCTAAAACCAATTTAATGACCGATAAAAGGTAGCTCATTTGGCGGCAAATACAATGGCCGCTAAGACAATTCTTGAATTTACCTTTATTTATCTATTTTATGACTTTTGTTATAGCCAATAATATTTAATTGCTATAAAAGAGGATATTTTAGCGACTTTTGTATTTGCCGCTAAAAATTAATAAACAACTATTACAACATTTGTAATGCCTTTTATACCTATTTACATTCTATAATAATAATAATAATAATAATAATAATTCACTTCAAAAAGCTCAATGCACTTTATTAATCCATAATTTGAGAGTGTAAATAACATAACGAAATGTTAAACAATTTGAATCTAATAACTACTAATTAATTGTTTGTCAAGTAGCTATAAGCTCGATAGTAAGCTACATTGGGCAGAATCTCCCAACTCTTGATCACAATAACTTCTACATGCCATGTCTTTGAAATTCAAAGTATATGACCTGAAATAATAAAATAAAATGAATGTCAAATCAACGACATATGAGGTTCATCGGCACTCTAGAAAATAGCTACATGATATTTACATACTTGTACTGGCATATCAAGGAATTCCTATTACAGAATTCAATCAAAATCTAGTGTACAAGAAATTCAATTCTTTTGCTGCTAACTATTACAACAAAGCAAAACTCAAAAAGTTTTATAGAATACGAAGAAGGTCAAATGGCAGTCCAAACAAAAATACATTGTGTTACACTTAACAAAGAGTATTGTCTTTTGTCTTTAGCCAATCCGAGATCTTTGAGACACTGTAATGACTATTCGTCACGATAGAACTCTTATGGTAACAAACACTTCATATGGCTATGATACTTCCAGATATAAATGAGATTGGAATGTCATTGTTCATGACTCTACGAGAAAAGAAAAAGTATAATAGCTACTTCCAATGGTAACATGAAGTAGAGAACATCATTGTTTAAGCTCATTTAAGTAGATGGATTTCTAAGTCCACACAGTTATGTTTCAGAACAGAGATTACTTCATGTAATTTAGAGCAACACTAGACGTATTTTATTTTCAATTTTGATAAGTCATTTTGTTAGTTAGATGTTTTACAACTTTCTTATAGTGAATGTCTTCCAATAGGCTATGGCTAGGTAAGCAAATTACAACTCCTAAATTTTCAGCTTGTTGCACTCTCTTCGCTCCATGCCTAATAATATTCGATTCAACTTCATCATCTGCTAATAACACATCAACAATATAGCTCATCTTTCAGCATAACAAAATAATAATATGTATAACCAAAATACCTCTTGCAAAACTCAATAAACTTTGATATTGAGAACTACACAGAAAAAAAATAATCTCTTTTTCTAATATCTCAGCGCCCATCCACATAGAGATGACAAATATCTAACATTCCATTCTCATCCATAAAGAGAACACAAGATATTCAGAAAAGAATACAATCACAATCGAAGTAAATTATCCACAATAAAAATGAAGTTGACGAAGTTGGCTGATAGAAAATAGATATCACTTGAACCAAATAGAGATATTACTAAGAAAACTAAACAATTAATGAGTAACAATGAAACTAGACTTAATAGGAAATACTAACCTAGCTTTGTTCTAACAAGTATAATTGGTACTCCAGGAACATAATGCCTCAATTTAGAAATCCAATAAAGAATAACAAGAGCAAAAAATAAGATATTCCTTCAGGAAAATTATGGAATACCACCAACCATAGAATCATTTCATTTTTTTCTTTGACAGGCAACATTTACCCGTTCATTTTCGGTAAACACAAGAAATCCTAAAATGCCACAGTAGATAGAAGTAGTGCTTTTAGTATTTTTACCAGCTTTCTGGACCAAATAACTAAAGTAAAAACTAAAACAAGCCAAGATCTTCAAGGACTTGCTTCAAGATGACAGGGTTTAGTATTACAGCTAGCGTACACATTTCTCCATTGTACTGTAAAAAGCAAGTAAAATATAAAGAAACCTGAAATTCAGAAGGAACTCTACCTTTTTTGGAGACAATTTCATAATTGGCCTTGCTAACGAGAGAATATGCCAGTCTAAAACTCTAGATACATCTGCCTATGATAGATCGAGCCTTAAGGGCCGCATGGTGCCGTAATATTCCTTCCCTATTCAATCAAACAGTAGAAGTAGTCAATAATATCACAATGATACTAAAATAAATATGGAAACCAATGCACTGACAAAGAGTGTATCTGCAGTATCCCGTAGACTCAGATTATTAGTGCTTCCATCGACAACCACATTTGCAATAAATGTCAAATAAAATTGGGACTTATTCATACGAAAGATAACAGAGAATTGAAAATATGATACATCAGAAAAGATGTTGCTTAAGCAATTCCTGCACCATATATATATATATATATATATATATATATATATATATATATTTCTTAATCATCATCTAAGCTACCTCTTTAAGACTTCAATTAAGGAACAACCAAGCACTAAATCAGAAATAAAACTATTCGAGTTCAGAAGCAAAGACAAGTTCATCAATAATAAACCTTCATCTTTATAATAGAGTATCCACATATTCAACTACAAGGTGTTATATTTGAAGCGTTCTTCTCTATTCACTTACAGAAGTTATCACCAATACTAAAAACATCCCTACAGACAAATAGTTTAATCGAGCAACATCAAGGAGAAGTCCACTAAGCTAAATATTGCCAAAAACTATTTTCAATACGGAATCCCTTCCCCTTGTCAGATCAAATGCATAAAGGAAATTGTATACACAAACACAATTCTTTTTACTGCTATTGCCAATCAAGAGGAGCTTGACGAGGCAATATGTAATCGTAATGGGCTCGAGCAGGTGGAGCGGCCATTTGATTTTGGCAGAAAATGATGAAGGGGAACTACTCCAACCCTAGATATACAAAAATCACTTTAGCAACTGTGAGAATTGAGGAAAGCTAATCGAATTAGAATAAAAATTAATTGAAATTCATGCATATAAATATATGTAAAAGGATTTATACATACATATATACATACACTACCGTACCAGATCGGAGAACAGTAAAGGAAATAAAGAGAGAGATGAAGATATGTTTGAGATCTAATAAATAGATGGGATGAAATAAAGAGAGAGTAGAAAGAGATTATTGTATTAACCGGATTTGGTGGCTGACGGTAAGATAGAAATGAGTTGCAGCGGCGGTGGTGATTTCAGCGGCAGGGGTGAGACAAGCCGAGCCTTTGTAAAGTATTCCCAAAATTTTCAAACTTAATTTTGTTATTTTGGGAAATTGGAGGGAATAGCTAGTGTGAAAAAAAAGTGAGGGAAAGATAAAATATTAAAATCTCTTTTGAAGCTTTTAGTGGCCAGTCGTTCTTTTTGCCGGTACAAAAGTATCTTTTCATGGCCAATATCTATTTGCCGGTAATATTTCTCCATAAAGAAATGAAATAGCAGCTATTAAATTATTGCCACTGAATAATTGCCACTAAATGTTTATTTTGTTGTAGTGAGTGTGTTACCTTGGGGTGCTCCTGTCTTGTTTGTGAAGAAAAAGGATGGTTCTATGCGTATGTGCATTGATCATCGCCAGTTGAACAAAGTTACAGTGAATAACCGGTATCCTTTGCCTCGTATTGATGACCTATTTGATCAGTTACAAGGTGCCCGAGTGTTTTTCAAGATTGACTTGCGTTCGGGTTATCATCAGTTGAAGATTCGGGAGCTAGACATCCCGAAGACTCCTTTCAGGACTCGGTATGGTCATTACGAGTTCCTTGTTATGTCATTCGGGCTGACCAACGCCCCAACAGCATTTATGGATTTGATGCACAGTGTATTCCGGCCTTATCTTGACTCGTTCGTCATTGTCTTTATTGATGACATTCTGGTGTACTCCCGAAGTCGGGAAGATCATGAGCACCACCTCAGGACAATGCTTCAGACCTTGAGAGAAAAGAAATTATATGCAAAGTTCTCAAAATGTGAATTCTGGTTAGATTCTATGGCATTCTTGGGTCATGTGGTATCGAGTGAAGGGATCAAGGTGGATCCGAAGAAAGTGGAAGCAGTGCAAAGTTGACCAAGACCATCCTCAGCTACAGAGATCCGGAGTTTCCTTGGTTTGGCGGGGTATTACAGTCGATTTGTTGAGGGATTTTCATCTATTGCAGCACCCATGACCATGCTGACCCAGAAGGGTGCTCCGTTCAGGCGGACGGAAGAGTGTGAGGAGAGCTTTCAGAAGCTTAAGACAACTTTGACTACAATCCCAGTATTGGTATTGACTTCAGGTTCGGGGTCTTATACAGTTTATTATGATGCGTCGTGAGTTGGCCTCGATGCGGTGTTGATGCAGGACCGTAGGGTGATTGCTTACGCGTCCAGACAAAAGGTGCATGAAAAGAACTATCTTGTCCACGACCTTGAGTTAGCTGCTATTGTTCATGCATTGAAGATTTGGAGGCACTATTTGTACGGTGTCCCTTATGAGATCTACACTGGTCACCGAAGTTTGCAACATCTGTTCAAGCAGAAGGATCTTAATTTGCGTCAAAGGAGGTGGTTAGAGCTGCTTAAGGATTATGATATCACCATTTTCGTACCACCCGGGGAAGGCCAATGTGGTTGCCGATGCTTTGAGTCGCCGGGCAGAGAGTTTGGTTAGTTTAGCTGATCTACTAGCAGCAGAGAGGCCCATGGCGTTGGATGTTCAGGCTTTAGCCAGCCAGTTTGTGAGATTGGATATTTCTGAGCCTAGTCGGATATTGGCTTGTGTAGTCTCTCGGTCTTCTCTTTATGGTCGTATCAGGGAGCGTCATTATGATGACCCCATCTGCTTGTCCTTAGGGACACAGTCCAGCACGGTGATGCTAAGGAGGTCATTATTGGGGATGTGGTGCATTGAGGATGCAGGGCAGGCTTTGTGTGCTTAATGTAAATGGTTTGCCTGAGTTGATTCTCAGGAGGCTCATAGCTCACGGTACTCTATTCATCCGGGTGCCGCGAAGATGTATCAGGACTTGAGATAACATTATTGGTGGCGTACAATGAAGAAGGATATAGTGGAGTATGTTGCTCGGTGTCTAAATTGCCAGCAGGTGAAGTATGAGCATTAGTGACCGGGTGGGTTGCTTCAGAAGTTAGAGATTCCGGAGTAGAAGTAGGAGCGGATCACTATAGATTTCATTGTTGGACTCACACGGACTCAGCGGATGTTTGATGCAGTTTGGGTGATTGTGGATAGGCTGACCAAGTCAGCTTATTTCTTTCCTGTGATGACTACCTATTCCTCCGAGCAGTTGGCTCGAGTTTATATCCGTGAGATTGTTAGACTTCATGGCATGCCGGTATCTATCATCCTTGACCAGGGCACGCAGTTTACATCACGGTTCTGGAGAGCCGTACAGCAGGAGTTGGGTACTCGGGTGGAGTTGAGCACAACATTTCACCCTCAGACGGACGAACAGTCCGAGCGCACTATTCGGATTCTTGAGGATATGCTCCGTGCTTGTGTGATGGAGTTTGGGGGTTCTTGGGATCAGTTCTTGCCCCTTTCAGAGTTTGCCTACAACAACAGTTATTAGTCCAGCATTCAGATGGCACCGTATGAGGCTCTGTATGGTAGGCGGTGTCGGTCCCCAATGGGTTGGTTTGAGCTGGACGAGGCCAGATTATTGGGTACGGACTTGGTTCAGGACGCTATGGAGAAGGTCAAGGTGATTCTGCATAGACTTCGCACAACCCAGCCCAGACAGAAGAGTTATGCTGATCGGAAGATTCGCAATGTTTCATTTGTGGTTGGAGAGCGGGTCTTGCTTCGGGTTTCGCCTATGAAGGGCCTTATGAGGTTCGGCAAGAAGGGCAAGCTGAGCCCAAGGTTTATTGTTCCTTTTGAGGTGTCGCGGCGTGTTGGGGAGGTTGCTTATGAGCTTGCCTTACCTCCCAGCCTAGCAGGAGTCCATCCAGTATTTCATGTTTCGATGCTCCGGAAGTATCACGGCGATCCATCTCACGTGTTGGATTTCAGATCGGTCCAGTTGGACAAGGATCTATCCTATGTTGAGGAAGCCAGTGGCTATTGTGGACATGCAGGTTCGAAAGCTGAGGTCAAAGAACATTGCATCAGTGAAGGTTCAGTGGCGGGTCAGCCGGTCGAGGAGGCGACTTGAGAGACCGAGCAGGATATGTGCAGCCGTTATCCTCATCTTTTCACCACTTTAGGTATGTTCCTGTGCTCGTTCGAGGACGAACGATTGTTTTAAGAGGGGGAGGATGTAATGACCCGGCCGGTCGTTTTGAGAGTTAGAGCCCCAATCCCCTATTAACTGCTTCCCCCATACCTATTTCTGCTATTGTAACTTGCCGGGAAGATTCGTTTTGGTTTTTGAAGTATTTTGGTACACTTAGTCCCTAAATGAAGGTTTAAGCTTTAGGATTTGGACCGTAGTCGGAATTGTGTAAAGACGACTCCGCAATGGAGTTCTGTCAATTTCGTTAGCTCTGTTGGGTGATTTTGGGCTTAGGGGCGTGTCCGGACTGTGTTTTGGAGGTCCGTAGCTTATTTAGGCTTGAAATGGCGAAAGTCGAATTTTTGGAGTTTTGGGCCGGTAGTCGAATTTTTGATATCGGGGTCAGAATCCGATTCCGAAAGTTAGAGATGGTCCGTAGTGTTGAATATGACTTGTGTGAAAAGGGTCAATCGGATGTGGTTTGGTTGGTTTCGGCATCGGTTGTAGAATTTTGAAGTTTCAAGTTCTTAAAGTTTGGATTGGAGGGTGATTCGTGATTTTAGCGTTGTTTGATATGATTTGAGGGCTCGACTAAGTTCGTATGGTGTTTTAGGATTGGTTGGTATGTTTGGTTGAGGTCCCGGGGCCTCGGGTGTGTTTCAGATGCTCAACGGGTCATTTTTGGACTTAGAAGGATAGCAGATTTTTGCTGGTTTTGTTGCAGAGATTTGTTCTTCGCGTTCGCGAAGAAGAGTTGGGGCAAAACAAGAAATTGCTCTTCGTGTTCGCGAATAAGGGGACGCGTTCGCGAAGGTTTGGACTTCAGTGTATCGCAAACGCGTGGATGGCATCGCGTTCTCGTAGAGAAAAATGGAACAGCTGGGACCTCAGGAATTTGCTCTTTGCGTTCGCGAACAAGGGGCCGCGTTCGCGAAGGTCCTGGCAACTGAAGCTACGCATTCGCGAGAGGGAACTCGCGTTCGCGAAAGAGGAAAAATTGAGCAGTGGACTTTTTTTCTACGCGAATGCGAGGTGGTGGTCGCGTTCGTGAAGAAGGGCGTACCTGGGCAGAGTTAAAGTTCAAAAACGAGGGTTTGAGTTCATAACTCAAAAAAATTTGATTGAGAGCTCGGTAGAAGGCGAAATTTTGAGAGATTTTCGGAGGAAGTTTTTTTGGTAATGATTCCTAACTCCTTTATGATTAAATCCCACTAATCTATGCTTGATTTAATCATTTGATTTCGGATTTGGTGTGGAAAATTTGAGAAAAGTTCTTAGGCCGAATTTTGGGATTTTGATCGAGATTTTGGTATCGGATTTGAGTGAATTTGGTATGGTTAGACTCGTGAGTGGATGTGTGTTCATAATTTGTGACTTTTATCCTATTCCAAGACGTGGGCCCGGGGAGGCTTTTTGGGCGTTTTTCTATTTTCTTGCCTTAGCTTTGATTTCATTAGCTAAATTAGTTGCTTGTAGCTATATTTATATTTTGTAATTGATTCGGCTAGATTTGGGCCATCCGGAGCCGGATATTTGCAGAAAGAGCATTGTTTCCGATTAAATTGAGCTTGGTTCGAGGTAAGTGGCTTGCCTAACCTTGTATGAGGGAACTCCTCTTAGGATTTGGTATGATATATGAGCGTCGTGTACGTACACGAGCTATTTGTGGCAAAACTCCATTTTTCACTTAGTCATAACCTATTTTTTTCTCCTTGTTTGAACTACTCTAGCATATGTACTATCCTGTTTAGATTAGAAAAGCATATCTATGTGTTTTAACTGCCTATTTGAACTTTGTGCGGCATGTTTAGTGAAGTTACTTGTTTTTCCTTTGAATTGGACTTAGTCAAAACTATAGGTTTCTTGTTGTAATTGTTGTTTGCTTTGGTTGTACTGCATATTTACTTTGGGACTACGGAACTGTATTCCGGGAGATCCCCCTGTACTGCATATTTACTTTGGGAACGGAACGGTATTCCAGGAGATCCCCCAGCATTCCATATTTACTTTGGGAATACGAAACGGATTCCGGGAGATCCCCTACACATTTACGTTTGGAACTACGGGACGGTATCCCGGGAGATTTCCTATTGTTACCCTTGTGTTTCTGAGCTGTTGTTCTTCTATGCTTATTTCCTGG